CACAATGATGCTCAAAACTTTGTAAAAAGTTGCAATGAGTGTAAGAGGAGTGGAAATATCTCTAGAAGAAATGAAATGCCTTTAAACGGAATTCTAGAAATAGAATTATTTGATGTTTGGGGTATAGACTTCATGGGACCTTTTCCTCTGTCCAATAATTGTGCCTACATATTGGTAGTTGTGGACTATGTGCCCAAATGGGTGGGAAGCCATGGCTTGCCATTCCAATGATGCTAAAACAGTTGTGAAGTTTTTACAAAAGCACATATTCACTAGATTTGGTACACCTCGTGCCTTAATTAGTGATGAGGGCACTCACTTCATAAACAACATGTTAGAAGTCCTTGATAAGTATGACATCAAGCATAGGGTAGCAACTGCCTACCATCCTCAGACAAACGGATTAGCTGAATTGTCAAATAGGGAGATAAAAAGGATTTTGGCCAAAGTAGTCAAGCCACATAGAAAGGATTGGGCCTCTAAGTTGGATGATGCATTGTGGGCCTACCGGACTGCTTACAAAACCCCTATTGGTATGTCTCCCTATAAATTGGTCTTTAGAAAAGCTTGTCATTTACCTGTGGAATTAGAGAACAAGGCCTATTGGGCCATTAAGGAACTCAACATGAGTTTAGATGAGGCCGGAAGAAAAAGGACTTTGCAGCTTTGTGAACTGGAAGAACATAGGAATTTCTCCTATGAAAATGCTAAGCTATACAAAGAAAATACCAAGAAATGGCATGATAAAAAGATTCTTCCAAAAGAGTTCATAGATGGCCAAAAAGTCCTGTTGTTCAATTCAAGGTTAAAATTATTCCCAGGAAAGCTGAATTCCCGATGGACCGGACCTTTTGTTATTTCCAAGGTATACCCCTACGGAGTCATTGACCTGATAGATCCGGAGAGGGGTACCACTTTCAAAGTGAATGGACAAAGATTAAAGCCTTTCTTTGAGTCCATGAGTGTTACACAACCTATTGAGGTTATCTTTTTAAAATAATAAGTCTTTTAATTTTATTTTATTTCCTTCTAAAATAATTATCTATTTCTTTCATAAAATGTAATATATTAGGTTTATATTAAAAGGTTTGGATTTTGTTATCGTTGGGCCAGGACTCACTCTCAAACAGCCGGCCCAATCTCTAGACTAAGCAGGCCCAGGCTAAAAGAAATATGATGGCCATTTTGTTTTTGTTTCTTAACAGGCCACGAAAAGGGAGGCCCAAAGTGAGTCCATGTTTAAAAAGGCCGCGAAGATAGAGCCCATCATCGATGTACGCTTGGTACGGCCTGTCAAGACTCCCGCGCAACCGTACCAAGCCAAGTCTGGTAAACCGTCTCTTCATCTCCAAGCTCTCAACTCAGGCGAAGACCTCCATCAATGTACCCTCTAAATCAATACTTTATATTAGGAAACAATCAAAACTTATATGAAATCACATATTAACCAAATGAAATGGACGGTTGAGATTGGATTGTATTGGTTGCACAAATGTCAAGGGTTGTATAATAACCAACCTTTATATATATATATTATGAGAATATAATATAGCATGTCATTCCCATATCAAGACCGAAGCGAGCAGCCTCCTCTTAGGAATCGAAAATTGTATGTGTTCAGCATATAGCTAGTGTTCCTTCTGAGCCAGGATCAAACTCTTCTTTTGACTAGACTATGAATAAAGAGTTAGGAAGAAAAACCAACAAGAAACTTCCCAGTTTTGATGTCCTTATCTGTGATTACATTAAGGTCCTGGTACCAAACTACTACAGCTCAATAGGACCATCATAGCAATTAAATAACCAATAATGATAACAAAGCGTAGCGACTATGCACATGGATAGTTAAACAGATGTTTAGAAGTATCAAACATAAGCCTCTTACATGACACCAGGACGGTAAATTATGCAAGTTCTAAGAGGAGAAGATCCTTACTTCTCAAGCTTTACGTAAACACTTGTGATGGCACGATATAGATCAGAGACCATATTCTCCTTGCCATCCTCCTCAAGTAGTGAACAAGCATCAGTATACATTGCAACGGCCTCATCAGGCTGAGCATCTTCCAGAGCACTGTAGAATAAATCATATTCACACAATCCTTTGAGCTCTTTGAGCAGCAGCTATTGCAACCCAGAATAGGATAGTTATATATGACTTTACACAGAAGAAATTCCTTGAAAAATGATGGTATGGCAACATATTTCAAAGAGAATCTTAATAAACCATAATCACACACTTCATAGTGTTATCACATACTTCAGCATGATACCATGCTAAGGGTCTTAATTGGATATGGCACAACAATTAACAAGGTCCATGATTTATCATCTTGCAAAAGTATATTTTTAGTGTGATCACGGTAATTTGAAGTGCATTATTCGAGGCACCTGTTTCACTTGATATGCGCATTACAAGCTTTGGTGGGAACATTCCCTTCTAAAAGAAATTCAGCAAAACTGCACCTCCTATATTCCCACAATTCCAAATACCACTATATTTGTGGTAAACAAATCCAGGGATATGGTCAAAGCTGCAAAGGCTGTGCAACCCGCTGCAACCCAAGCCACCCGTAACAGAGGATTTGGCAGGTTCCAGTTGTCATATAGAATAAATACACCATTTATTATAAATGGCCTAGGCTGAACCGTATCATATTGTATATATAAATCATGTTTTTAAAACCAACACAGATAGAGCATACCAGAGTGCTCTATACCATGGTTTTGATGAAAGAAATCTCAACATGAATTCAAGTTTAATATATAATGTTCTATCCACAGCTAGCAGGGAAACAAGATGCCTACCGAGCACCTTTTGCAAGTGCATCAGATGCGGGCTGTGACCTCCCACACTCATTGTACAGCTCAGAAGCCCTTCTGTAAAAGTCAGCAACTTCATTCCATATGCTTAATTCTACTGCCAAAGCAGCAGCAGACTCCATATGCTTAGCAGCATCCCATGGTTTAAGTTCTTGTTAAGTCTAAACTATTGTGAATACAAATGATTTCCCAACTGAAAGGCAAGCTTAGTTTGAGCATGAAAGGATATGAAGAGAGCATTTCTTGTCCCTTTGAAGCTTTCTCAAAGGCTACTTTTGCTTTCTCATATTTTTTGGCAAACCTATACGCATTCGCTGCCAGGAATAATGTATATATAATCGTCATTAGATATAACATCCTGTAACATAAGTTGCACAGAGTTATACAGGCTAAGATTAACGTTACAAAATTATTTACCTGCCTGCTCATAATATTGAGTTGCATTCCTCCAGTCGGCAGTCCACCGTGTTAAAGTAAGTTTTGTTCTGGTGTAGATAAGACAAAAAATCAAACCAAGCAATTACAATAGAAAAGGATAATATAACTAAGGGCACTTTTTCTTATCTAGCATACACTAGAAAACAAAGAAAGAGCCTATATTGCAACCAAAAAATCCCCATGCTGCTATTGACCTCTATATGTTATTAAAAACATGCAGTATATAGCACTATCAATCTACACTGTCCTACAAGGGCATTATTAATTCTGTGTGTTCATGAGGAAAGAAGAAGCGAAGCAATGTATGTCTAGCATACAATGTAACATACCTTATCATCTTATCACCTAAAATAAAAACAGCGTTCCCCACAATTCCCAGAAAAGGGTTGTTGAAAAGATAAAATTTAGATCCGTTTCAAAAGGATATTCTTATGATTAACTTTGTTTCCACATTGAATTGCTTTCAACTAAACTTCTATCTGTATCTAGGCACCTCATCTATCATTGTCTCAAGTTTGTTCTAAATGAAGTAGTCCCTGCGTCACGAGGACTACAGTATTCAACTATATATGCAAATAAATGGAACTCTTAACCATCAGCTGATCGAACAAATACCCTTACATTATCTCTACAATTCAAATTAAAGTAAATCTTGTGATCCAAATAGAATAAAACTTTTTTCTGGTCGTATATATGGAAAAACGATGGTGATCGCAAAATTAGGGCCAAAAAAACTTTTATACTTTCAGTTCCAAAATAATGTTCAGTTGGATGGTAATTGTGGCAATAAGGAATTTTTAGAAATATTAAAGGAGTTAGGGTTGTCTTGTTATTAGAAAATGTATTACTTTTTAGACAGTATTTAGTACTAGTAAGTTATTTCTATAAGTTAGTGAAGGTAGTGTATTCTTTATAGGGTTTCTTGTTCATTATGGTCTATATAGAGTTTTTCTTTTTATATATGTTAGATTTATTCATTATTGAAGGATTTGACATGCAGACGGAGTAGGTATTCTTTGTTTAGTTAATCAAATTTTTGTTATGAACCCTTAATGATCCTAGTCTTTATTATATACTATGGACCCTTTGGAACCTAGTTTCTTCTTAAATTTTTCCCCCAAATCTTATCTTTGAGGATCATGTGCCGATGATGCATCAACATAAATAGGTAACTTGACTTCAAAGGATTTGCATGACTGGAAATGTTGACATATTACAGGTAATGATGAGATCTTCAGGACTAGAGCATCCATAAGGCTTTTCCTTCATAAATGCATTATATCAAACAACCAAGATTGAGAGTAACATCATAAAAATGTCACAGACATTGCATCATAACACCCATTGTAAGACTTAGCCATTGCATGGCGTAAGGCTACGGACATGGTCAGTTTATAACTCTATGCCAGTACTAAAATACAAACAGAAAACTGAAATTCTAGGATTAACAAAACTAGATGATTAGAACTTGATCTTGATACTGTTTTGACAGAAATTTTACCTATGTAGGTTGAAATGCATGTAAATTTTAGACCTCCACATTAGATAATGCATGTAAAACTAGATGATTAGAACTTGATCTTCATTACAAAATGTTTATGAGGATTGCTTTATTTTGATACTAGATAATATAACTTTACTACATGTGTAACAAATAAAGGCTAATGTATTTGTGTGTATCAGATAAAGAAACAAGCGGGCAAGGAAAAGGTTGTAAATTAGTGATTTCAAGATTTTACGAAGTTCACGCTATGCTAAATGTATTTTTGGATTAAATAATCTGCTTCTGTTCTGAATATATGTATTTGCGGCAAATATGTATTATATGATTATGATTGTATTTGATAACATACTGGTAAGTTACTCCGGGGTAAGTCGGGACTCGGTGTGACAGACATGAATTCCATATCTCTGCATTTATCACCATGTTGGAAAGAGATTGAAATGAATGCTTACTAACTTCATCCTTTATTATTATATTCCCAATTCAAACATGTGTATTGCTTCTTCATACTTATTTTAATCTCAAGCATAAAAAAGTCTAAATCCATTTTTGTCATTTATATGAAAACTTGATAGGTATGTTCAACACCTGATAAAGGCCACAACAATAGCGTTTCAACCAAGTACTGCAACGTGAAACAATTGAATGGATATGATCACACTTCATGAAGAAACAAGAAGAATTAGGGAGATCTAGGAAACCCGTGAGATGGGTCACTTTCTGTCTATCTTACCATCTTTTGAATCATAAAATAATGAGAATCTCTAATATATTTCCAAGATTGCAATTAATTCAAATAATGCCTAGAAGATGATTAATTGAAAACACATTTCATTTTGAATCCAGAAAGCAGTAATTTCACCACAAAACTCAAAGCGCATAATCCAGTGTTGGAACTGATAGACTGAAACTGATCTCCAACTAAAGAGATGCTTTACAAACTCCAATAACTTAACCTAATCACAGTCTATGATCATTCAAATTGGAGTCCAATCATCATGAAAAACAACGCAAAAACCCTAGTTACTGGAAATGATAGGTTGATTAAAAACTACTAGAATTATTGCGAAGTTCAATAATCAACAACATGATCATGAAATTAGATACTGATAATCAGTAATACGCAGATTATGAAGGATGGAGAAAAACGTAAACTGACAGTTTATCGGCTTTTGCGATCAGCTTTTCGGGATCGGCACCGGCCATGGCTGAGTAGTTCCACCGTAACTGTCTTCAGCAAATCTAAATCTTCAATGCTTGTGAAAATTTTCACACATTAGGAAAAAAAAAACTTATATGCATTGGCCCACACTCCGGTATTAATTAAAACCCGCATTGCCGGTTCGGATCGTTTTTGTCTTCTGAACCGGTTTTTTGAGATGTCATATATCATTTTGCATCAAACTAAATTAACCAATAGTTGTATCAATCATATCAGTTGAATTAGTATACTAGAAAGGTATTCGTGTAATATAATGAGATATATATTGATTTTAATATTTTATTTTATTATTTATCTCAGTTGATGTTATAATATGGTTTTATATGATTTTAAGAAAACCATGATTTATTTATTTTTTTAATAAAATATAAGTTTGAAGATATTATAAAAATTTGACAAAAATATATCCATATTAGTATCAAATTAACTATTTAAAATTCCTCATTTTTTTATGTAATTTTTTAATTCAATTTTTTTATAATTTAATTTAGGTACAATAACATAGTAATTTATATTTGATTTAATAATATAATTTTCTTATAAAAATAATAATTAATTATTTTGTTATAACTCGATAATTATCATAATTATATTTTAGATTTTTTATATTTTAAAATGAGATGTTTATCCTCTATTTGATTATGTTTATCCGCA